TATAATAATACAACATAAATTGATTTTTACACTACTTTACCTTTACAGCTTATGAAACATAAATTAATTGTGTGTGGGATCAATAAAGTTGTATTTTGTAGTCCTGTAAGAAGTTTTAATACATTGTTTTTGGTTCCTGTTTTTCTCAAATTGTGTGTGTGTGTGAGCGCATGTGTGTTTGTTTGAATAAATGATGGTGTGTCGTCTCTTTTCACCTCAGCCATGGCTTCCACTCCTGACAACAAATCCACGCGTCCCGTCAGCGCCCCCGTTATGTCACCGGTGTCTCCGGGGGAGGCCACCCCATCCCCGCTGCTGTCCACGCTGCCTCGACCCGACCGCTATGATGGCTTCACGCCGAAGAGCCATCGTCATGAAGACAGAAAGGCGGAGCTAAAGAAGAAGGAGTGTAGGGCAGAGTTCACCAAGAGCCACAGCCCAAAACCACAGTCTGCTTCAGAAATCAAGGTAAAGGACATTATTACAGTATTTATCAACAACAATGAATGTAAAGTTACATTGCAAATGTTTGTTTAGAAGGCATTGCCCAAACTAAATTAAGATACTTTATTGTATTGCTGCTAAATGTTTAGATTAAAATTTAAAATATCTGTTAAGATGCAGGTAGATCTCATTTACACTACTCTGGATAGTTTGACAAACAGATTTTTAAATGCGTTTGCACTTCTCGTCTGCATGCCACAGAGATTCTTTTTATTATTGAGGGAAACAAGAATTCTAAAAAGGCTTTAAAAAGGTAAAGATTTTAAAAAAACATCGTTTTTAGAGGGATCGTGTGGACATGGTTTTTGACGTAACGATCTGTTTTGTGTTCTTCCACAGTGTGGCTCAGAAATCAAAACTACGTAGAAAATATGTTTACAGTACTTTCTACATCTGTCTCACTTTATCCTGATCCTGTCATCATTAAACATTATTTGTCTAAAATGGTTAATACTTGGGAGGAAACTGAGCCCCAAACATTGAATTGGGGGAAAATCACAAAGAGATCAGGTATAAACTTATAATTTATGAACATGTTGCTGGCAAGATGAAGAACAGGCACAATCACAGAAAATCAAGCTTTTTAACTTCTTGCTCTGCCTGTTTAAAGTTTCAGCTGCTCTGCAGATGAAAAGGAAAACAATTGTTTTACACACACCATGTCAGAATCAGAATACTTCAGCTTGCAGGTTCATGACCTCGAACCTCATCAGAGTGTCGCTCTGGGATATCTGTAAACAAATTTCATAAAATGATGACAATGACAGGTCAGGTCAGAATGCACTTTTGTGGATATTATAACACTTTATCTTACGAAAGAGTATTAGGGCCGCACGACAAGATTTTTTTGTTTTTTTAATTACAAGGAAACCATAAACAAAAAAAAGTCAAAACTTTACACGACGTCCATTTTTCCCTCGTCTTTTTCCTGACACCTACTGTGGACAGCCTCCAGTACTTGTCACTAGCCGTGTTTCCATCCACCTTTTTTTAGGCACATTTTGAAGCATCACATTAGAAAAGCTGGATGGAAATGTCAACTTTCTCAATTTCACAAAAAGGTTTTTACGACCCCTTGAGGTAGTTTTGGGATTTTCTGAAAATGAATTAATGCGCAAAAAGGGAGATGGAAACTACAGAGCCTGCAAGGGGACATGGGAGATTTTTTTTCTTTTGCGTTCCCACGCAATAGTATTGTGTTACCTCGCAATACCTTTTCTGTTCCCTCGCAAAAGTAGTTTTTCACTGTTGTGCCTGCCGGTTTATTAACAATCTCACATGTTTACCATTAGTGAGTTAGCCTACTGCTTTAATTCAGCCTCAGAATGAATATATCACACAGCCACGCATGGAAGTATGTCATATGCTGATATTTTAACACAGTGCAGCCACGCAACATAATGTCAATTTCACGAACTTGTGGCAACACATCCTGTTTTGGTAACCGGATATTTCAAAATAAAAGTCTGTTTTTATTCAGTTCACATACAAATCAAAGTTTTGCGTGGGAATGCAAAACAATATTGCGAGGTAACGCAAAAGTATTGCGAGGGAACGCAAAGGTATTGCGAGAGAACGCAAAAGTATTGCGAGGGAACGCAAAGGTATTGCGAGGGAACACAAAAGTATTGCGTGGGAACGCAAAGGTATTGCGAGGGAACGCAAAAGTATTGCGTGGGAACGCAAAAGAAAAAAAATCCCCCCCAAGTCCCCTCGCGGGCTCAGTAGGAAACACATTTGCTGAATAAGTTCTGATGTTGCGAATATTTACCTCGATCAGCTGTTCCTGCTGTCCATTATTTCTACCTAGCTTCTGAACCCTCCTCCCACCGTCGGCGTCTTCCCAGATATTCTCGTAACGTGAAGAGAATCACATTTCTTTCTCTACGTCTCCAGGCAGCAGTAACATCACCAATACTAGTTCATATGACAGAATAATTACAACTTTCCTGATGGTAGCAACAGTTTCCTTATAACTTTTCTCTATTGTCCTGAGATGTGTCCCTGCGAGTTTGTGACTTTACTTCCTGTTTACTACCGCCACATGTAACGTCAAAATCTGACATAATTACACTTTGGTGTACGCCTGGTTGATTCACTCCAAGCCAGTTGAAGAAAGCGTGTCTGATGCTCATTTTTCCCCCCCTTATTTCAACATTTTCAAAATTTGGATGGAAACACGGCTACTGTGTTTGTGACGTAGTCCATGATGACTTTTAGGTCACTGTCATTCTCACCACCTAGTGGTGCGACATGAGCATTTCAGCATTTTCAAATATTGGGACCAGATTCAAAATGTTTTCTTGAACTGAGAGAAAACATATCCAGAGCAGTGTAGACGAGGATCTCTAGACTGTGAATTCTGGATTGTTGGGCGAAATAAAAGTATTAAAAATAATAACTATATGTACAAACTACTTTGGTTTACACACCTTGAATGAATGATGAATGCACCAGGATGGCAATACAATGGTTGTTGCTGTACAAAGGTTTTTCTCTTGTTTTTTCTTTGGGGATTGTGTCTGAAAATGTGAGCTTTGTGCTACCAGACTGTGTCCAGAAGAGAGAGGAGACACTCTCCAGCTGTGACAAGTGGGGATAAAGAGAGAAAGAGCCAGGTTTGTTTACCTGATGAATGATTCAAAATAACAACTTTGGTATTGAAAAAACAGAGTCAAACATGGTAGTTAAATTATTTGACATTTACCATTTATTAAAAAAAATAAAGGGAGTGCCAAGTAATGTACGCCATATTTAGATTAACTAAAAATTACATTTCCTGCTAAAATTTAGAGTGAATGCTAAGTGTTTAACAGCTTCGCTAAAATGTGTTAAAAGAAGAATCATTAGCTGAATTATTATTTACAACTTGCAGAACAAAAGTTAAATGTTAAAGCTAAATGAAGCATAACTGTCACAATTTTTTTTTGCAAAACCACAATGAAATGCTACAATTATCAAAACAGTACTTAAAAACCAATTGTATTAAAATTGTAGCTAAAAGTTAAAAATAGCAAGACATTAGCTAAAGGCTAAAGGAGACAATGGAAAACAGAGCGAGTATCTTATAGGTATGTAATATGCAACTAATATCCAGGCTTTTTTAAAATGAAATCTGATTTTTTTTTTTTAGTTTAGCTCAGCTCTTTTCTATATTTGGTTCCAAACTGGAAACATGTTCAGTGTTTTTCAAAGTGACTGCAGTCTGAGTAGTCATGTCAGTGAGGTAATGATCCAAATATTGATATTTATTCCAACATCCTGCAGTTTAAAGCTTGGAACTCTGCCTGTTTTCAGCTACAGAGTAAAATTCAGTTTTGTTTTGTTTTAGTTTTTGTATTTTTTACGTTTGCCATGTTCTGGATGAACATGTGGTACCAACAGCTGGCATACCACAGTGTTGAACTGTATTGTTCAATCCAAAAAAAGGGTTATAAAAACAAAACAACTGGGGCCTCATGTATCAACGGTGTGTACGCACAAAAACCTTGCGTACGCCATTTTCCACACAAAACTCCAGATGTATCAAACTCAACTGAACGTGGAAATGTGCGCAGCCCCACGCCAACTCCAGGGCTGGTGTACGCACGTTTCTGTGGTTCTGGTTCCATTGGAGACACTTAGAGGTGATTGTGAGAAACTGTTCATGATGTGAAAATGATTATTGTTCACACCACATACACATGAATTAACAATTATTACATCCACATGATTAACATCCACATGATTAACAATTATTACATCCACATGATTAACAATTATTACATCCACATGATTAACAA